AGACAGAAGTTTGACACAAAAAAGCCTCTGTTGAGCTAAACAATGATGAAGCAAGACTTGTTAGATGATGGGAAAGGTTTTAGAAGATAAATTTCAGAGACTCTTGAACTCTCAATGGCTAAAATGAATAATTTGGGCTTCCAAAAAGGTACGAGGAACACTTGATCAAGGAATTTTTGGCTTCTAAGACACAAGGAAGGCTTTTCAGGGATCGAATTCTCCATCATCCATTTATTCATAACCTGATTAATTTGAAAAACCCTCCCAAGTGGGATTTAAATTAATACAGAAGTTAAGAGATAAATGAGGTCATTTGATTATCCACGACCCATAAGGGTTCCCCAAGAGTGACTTGTGTCCACAAAACGAGCCCAATAATGTCATATGACATAATTTTTAGACCGCCGATCCGGTTCCATATTATTGTTGTTTGTAACTTTTAGAATGCATTTTAGAGGATGATATGATTTTGTTAATTTTTTTAAAAAAAAGAGTAGAAAACAAAAAAAACACATACAAATGGTTCAAACCGCGATTTAACTGGCTAGAAACGGTCCAGTCTAGTCTCATCTTACTCATGGTCTCATCCGGTCTGGATTTTTAGAAATTGTTATTAATGGTCCGGTCTTAAAACTTAATGGTTTGGGACTGAATCAGACCGTGAAAAGTCTTATTTACGGCTATGTAATGGACACGCCGCTTTTTTTTATTTTTTTATTTTCCTCTTAATATTAAGGGTTCGTTTTGGTAAAAGAGTTCAAACTTGGGTTTGAACCTAATTTCCCATATTTAAATCATGTGAGTATGGAATTGTGGGGTTTGAATCTGAGTTCAAACCTTGAGAACTCAATAGGAATTTGAGTTTAGAAATCATTTTTTAACACTTTGGTTCATAGATTCAGAATCATGATTTAGAATTATTCTCGGTTTACGTGTATTTTTTATGAGAAAAAATATTATAGCGAACCACGAATCATGATTCGAATCATGACCCGAATCTACCAACCAAACGCACCGTTCATTTTGAGAGTTTAAATGTCACATCAAGAAGTTCAAACTCCTTTTACTTTTAGATTATTTTCATGAATATCCCATGAATTATGTACCATATTTTAAAGTGCCCATTAATTTTTAAATATTGTTCAAAACACCTCCCAATCTATAGAAAACAACTCAAAATGTCTCTTCGTCTAAGTCAGTCTATTATTTTAACAGAATTGCTGACGTGTCAATTATTAAACATCAATTAAGCTCTAATTAAACAAATAAAAATGATTAAATATTGAAAACAATAAAATAAATAGAAAAATACTTTTATTTCAAAATTAAACTAAAACATTAGAAATATATATATATATATAATTCTGAAAAGTTTTCCTTAGCGCTCTATGGATATCTCTCCTCAAAATCTCTCTTATATCTCTTTGATTGCCACCGAAAATATGAAGATCTTGTTTAGTGTTAAAATTGTTTCTAATCCTGAGTTGGATTTTTTTCCCCTTCAAACGTGGGTTGTCTTCTTTTGCTTAAATGAACATCACCTGCCGTGATGTCTATGCTTGCTCAAATGAAGCTCGAATCCCCAGTAGAAGAGAAACCCAAAGCACTTCAATTGCAAGTTGAAACTGGGCATGTTCTTTTGTCTAAAAAATTTAAAAAAAGACAACTCAAGTTTCAATTTTACTTAAGTTTATGTTTTTTTAAGTTTCAACTTTATTCAATTTTACTCTCAACTTTATTCAAGTTCTAACTTCAACTCAAGTTATAACTCAAATTCAACTCAAAAACTACACTCAAATTACACTCCAAAAGAATAATCTCAAAAAACTTTTATCGGATATTTTTCCCGCTTAGATCGGCGTTGTCTTTTTTTATTATTATTTTTTGTTTCCTTCAGTTAGATCTTATATTGTAAGTTGAAACTAAAGAAGTGAAGAACCCAGAATAGAAGAGAAAATTGAGGATGCACGCGAAAGAGCTCACGCCAGCGGGAGACAGAGCGATTTAAAAAATGAGATACAACGGGTGCGTTTGAAACTTGTTCTAAAATAATTTTATTTTTTATATGAAAATAGAAATGAAAACGTTTTTAATCTCAAACAGAAATCATTTTTAAAAACGCTTTTGGTAGTTTTATCAATAAATTGTTTTCAATACAAAAAATTCATTAATGTCTATCTCTCAACGGAAACAAAAATTGAAAAACGACTAAAAGTCATTTTTCATTTCTCTCCAATTTTATACTAAACCAAAAAATCGTTTTCATTTCCGTTTTTTATGTTTAATTGTGCCAAACGCCGTTTCTCTCCCGTTTTTATTTTTTTCTTGAAAAACGTGAAAAACAAAAACAAAAATAACTCCAAACACAACTAACATTTTTTGGAGAGCAAATGTACAGATGAGATGAGAGAATGAGAAGAAGAAGAAAGAAAGAGAAAACTTTTGGGTTCTTTTTATTACTTTTCTTTTAGTAATATTATCTTTTTAATATTTATTCTCTTTACATTTTTAATTAATCAGAATTTAATGTTTACTTGACTGTAATGGTTGCCAGAGAAACCAAAAGAACATCAATTGAAGCTGAAACTAAAAAAAACTTGTGTTGGATATTTTTTCCGCTTATATTAGCATTGTCTTGTTTTTATTATTTTCTTTTTCCTTCTGTTAGATGTTATATTGTAAATTGAAACTAAAGAAGTGAAGAACTCTGAATATAAGAGAAAATTTAGGATGCATGCGAAAGAGCTCACGCCAGCGGGAGACAGAGCGATTTAAGAAACGAGATACAAACATTTTTTGGAGAGCAAATGTACATATGAGATGAGAGAGTGAGAAGAAAAAGAAAGAGAGAGAAAACGTTTGGGTTCTTTTTATTATCTTTTCTTTTGGTAATATTATCTTTTTAATATTTATTCTCTTTACATTTTTAATTAATCAGAATTTAATGTTTACTTGACTGTAATGGTTGCCACATAAGTAATTCTGTTAGGATTATAAACGGATTTAAACGGAGGAGCCATCTTAAATTATTTTTTATATATTAAGGGGTGTTTTGAATCATTTTAAAAATTTAAGGGGCACTTTGAGACATAGTACATAATTCGGGAACATTTATAAAAACAATCCTTTACTTTTTGATAAATAAGTACTAGTTTGAACCTGAACTTTGACTCAAGCCCTTGAACCCTCCAACAAAATGACACTTATGTGACGTTTGATTCATGATTCTGATTTTTAAAATTTAAATTTTTTGTGAGAGAAAAATACTGTAACAGAACCAAGAATAATGATTCTAAACTAGGCAGAGCCCTCGAAACAAACGTTACCTTAGATTGACCAATTTTATTAACCTTTTTATAATTAATAGAATTGAGAAAATTAATAAACTTACTTATATGAGTTTAGATTCTTACTTTTATTATTAATTAATAACCTTTAAATTAATATAATATATAATTAAAAGGATATTACTATAAAATAAGTAGTAAAAATTAAGATTCATGTAATTTAAGAGGTGTTTATCTCTTTTTTTCTTTGTTAATTGTGTCTAATTATTTATAATGTTCAGCCAGGAAAATGTGTTATGTTTATCGGTTTATGTGACCTTTCAAGCCAAGAAGAAAACAAATGGAAAAGTGTACAGCCAAAAAAAGTACATTATTTTGTTTTTTTTAACTTTTGCAATAAAAAATTATGTTATTTCTTATATTTTTCTTCCATGATAATAGTAGTTTGAATATTGTATGGCATATTTTACACTAGTGCTGTTGGGCTGTCTGATAAATAAAGTTCACACATGCAGTAGTTGGCGCAGCCTAAAACATAAAGAAAAGTTAATTCCAGCGAAAAGTAGGCTTCCTGAATAAAATACATTTTCCTTAGCAAAAATAATAAAAAAATGTTAATCGCAGCGAAAAAATCAATTCTTTATTTTTTTTTCTGAATATTTATAATCTCGTTTAGTTCATAATTGAATTTTTTTTATTACAATATTTTCTATAATAAATTTTAAATTTTTATTTAAATTTTCCTGTTTAAACATGTAAACCTTTATTTTTCTTACTTTTAGGAATTTAATTTGTTTTCTTAAGAAGTTCGTCTGCAGTCAATTTTATTTATTTATTTATTTTAGTGCAAGTTGCCAAACATGCATTATTAATCTACTCAAACAGATTCACAAGAATATTACATGCTAAGAGAAATTTGATAAAAAAAATGTCATGATAAAATACAACATTAGTAGAAGATTCTCCCTATAAAAAATTAAATTTTCATATACTAATAGTAGATTTAAAATGGTCAGTAATTTAATAAATTTCCAATTTTAAGACTTTATAGCAGCCCATTTACTTACAAAACTTTGCGAACTTTTCTGTTCATTTCGCCGATTCGAGTTTAGAATTTAAGTTTTGCTACAGTAAAAAGTTTTTAAAAACAGTCATATCTAACTTTTTTGTTACAGTAAAAAATTCTCATATAAAATTACATCTCAACTCAAATTACAAACTCTAATTAGCAAAATGAACGGGACCGATAATGTTGATTTGGTTTTTGCCAAGTCCACGCACTAAAACAATCATTTTCAGTTTTCTCTGAAAAACAAAAAAAACAAAAAAATCCTTCCAAATATATACTTACAATGCTCAGTTGTTGTTGTTGCTTTTTTTTTTAAAAAAATATAATGCTCAGTTGTTTATTACAATATAAACCGATTCATTTATTGGGGAAAAAAATAATTTAAAAGAATTTTTTTTTTAATTTATACAAAAAAATAAAATAAAATAAAAAATTGGATGAAATGATAATTGATGCACAAGGGAAGGAAGGGAGAAGGAAGGGAGAAGGTAAGGGAAGATTTGTGGGGGGGTCCCCTTTGGACTCCATTTTTTAGGCTTCAGTGTTCGACTTTTGAATTTCTTAATCCCCAAAACAATTTCTCTTTTTTCTTTTTATATATAATCAATAATTTAAAAACATGAAATGACAAATAATAATAAAAATAAAAAAAGGGAAAAATACCTAAAACCTTCTTCGTCTTCTTCTTCTTCTTCTTCATCATCTCCGGGAACGAGACGACTAGGACCTGCGTTAGCTCTCTTCAGCTCAGACATCGTAAGTCTTTCTCCTTCTTCTTCTTCTTTTCTTCAAACTTTCTTTTCGGAGGAGAAAAAATAATGATATTAAAGAAGAGTTTGGTGTGAGTGGTTGTGCGATCATATCTTGGATTTCTAGCTGTTAATTTGATTTTGAAACGATTCGGACAACTTTTTGCGGATGTTTCGGTTTAATTTGCGTATTTTGTTGTTATTTCTTATTCTTTGCGTGATTGATTCTGAAAAAGAAACGGGAAATGAAACGGAAATGTGATTTGCAGGCGATTCGCTGATCTAGTCTTTCCACAGAGTGTAATTGGCGGGTTAATTGTTTCTTTTGTGGTTTTTATGAATTTCGATGTCGATTGGAACTGGAAATTTGGGATTGGAATTGGAATAATTTCGGTTCTTGGGGATTTCGATGAATTTAAGACTCTCTTTCCGCTTGTTTCTTTAATCTCCAGAATTTACACAAAGAAAGGGGAATCAGGGAAAAAGATAATAGGAAGAAAGGAGAGGAAAAAACATAAATATGCAGAAGAGTGGGGGTGTTTCTAGGAATAGTACTTTGCCTTCTTTGAGGGTGACTGTGCCTCAGCAGTCGCTCCGGCGTCTGGGATTGTGTTCCCAAATCGCCACGGCCACGGGAGGCCAGCACTCTTCCCCCATTGTCTTCCCTGAGAAGCAGAAGCGTAGCAAGGTCAAGGCTTCGAGGCGGGGGGGCGGTGATGCTGCCGCTGCCCCAACCCCCACGGATGATCTTGAGAACCCGAGTAGCTTTGAGCATAGGATCGATATCCGAGGAGGGGCGGGTAGTGGTGTTGGTGGAGATGAGAAGTCTAATTTGTTGGGTTATGAGGTCTTGTCTGGAAAGCTAGTTTTGGATAAGGGAAAGACTGCAAATGTGGATGGGACGTCAACAGATGCGCAACAAAACACTTCGATTACTGATATGACCAACAAAGACGCTGTTAATGCTAGGCTTACCAGTAAAGCATTGATTTGGGGTTCTCACATGCTTTCTCTGGAGGATATTATCTCAGTAAGATCTCCCACCTTGTGAGTGAAAAGTGATTGCAAAGTATTATGACATAACCGAGTAATTTGTTCTTTTCTCTTCCACAGGTTACATACAATGTTGGTCTCAGACATTTTACAGTGCACTCTTACCCCTTGAAAAAGAGTGGCTGTGGCCTTTCTTGTTTTATAAAGCCCCGAAGAACTCGCAAGGATTTTCACTTTGTGGCATCTAGCATCGACGAGGCTGTTCAATGGGTTGGTGGGTTTGCAGATCAGCAGTGTTATGTGAATTGCTTGCCCCATCCAATGCTTTCTTCAAAGAAGCAGGCATCTTCAGAATTACTTCCAATTGATACTCCCACTGAACTGATTTTCAAATGCAAGAGTCCACCAAAAATGCTTGTCATATTAAACCCACGGTCAGGGCGTGGTCGTTCTACTAAGGTTTTCCATGGGATAGTCGAACCTATATTTCAGGTATGATGTCATATTAAGGCAGCCTTTACGCAACTGTTGGAGCTATACTTGTGATTTTTCAAATGGATGCTAGCTATTTGAGATCTTACAGTTTGGGAAAGAAACGTTTTATACGCTTGATTTCTATATATCTTAATGAATCATGGGAGGATTATTTGATTCTTGATCTTATTATAGCTATAAGGTGATCATTCTAACTTCCTTCCATTTATACATACTCATTTTCAAGTGTCAACGGTGACAGCTTGCAGGTTTCAAATTGGAAGTTGTCAAAACAACGCATAAAGATCATGCTAAAACCCTTGCATCCACTGTTGACATCGACAGGTGTCCCGATGGTACTGATGCTTTGCTGTATGATGAACTATCTGAATGTGGATTATTACTGGTTCTTCTAAATTATTTTTCCTTACTTTCAGTCTTTACATCCTGAACATGTATATCATTTGTTTTCTTTCCCAGGAATTATATGCATTGGGGGTGATGGAATCATCAACGAGGTTAGCTGTTTGCTCCTTTAGAGCTTTTAAGTTCTCTTTTCTTTTTGGTACTGTAGTTCTATGATTATTGCAGTATTACTCTATTATGATTATTGCAGTATTACTCTATTATGATTATTGCAGTATTACTCTAGCCTATGTACTTTGTAATTCGTAAGTTTGATAGATTCTGAAAAATTATTATTTTCCTTCTCTTTTTTTTTTTTTTTTTTTTTATTGCTAGTCTTAATCCTTTATTCCAAGATTATTTGAATGAACTGATTTTTTTATCAGTTCAAGGTTTAACTTCCTTTTAGTGGAGAAGGTGTTCATTTTAGGAAGAACTATGTATTTATTAATTTTTTAGTGAGAGGATTTTGAGATTCTGTTTTAAGTTACGCTTCAAGGGGAATTCCTATTGTTAGAAATTTATTTGTAAGCTCCAGTTGGTTGCTGGCCTTAGTAGGAAAAATGCTATCACCTTATTGTACTCACCGAACACATTGTGTGTGTTTGGAAACGTTTTTAAAAATGGTTTTCACGTATTTCGAGAAGCAAAAAATGAAAATGAAAATAAAGCGACGTTTAGCAAATGTTTTGAAAATGAAAACAGTGATAATGGTTTTTGTGAAAGAATTAGAATAGTTGAAAGTTGTTTTCACTTTTCTGTTTTCATTTTTTAGTACTCATCAACAATATTATAATATATTAATTAATAAACACGATTTCACTTTTTTATTATACTCAAAACAATCTTTTAAAAAACCAGTCAAATGCAATTTCAGAATCGGTCACAGAATGATTCTCAAAACAATCTCATTTTTACTTTTTATTGAAAACAAAATCATTTTAAAACCAATTCCAAACGCACCCATCGTGTTATATGCGACAACCACGATTCTTAATCTCAGACTTCTCAGTGCTCTAATTGGCGTGATACTCCTTTGAGTTTGTTTTAAGCAACTGATGTATGATACCCTTTTTGACCTCCATCTTGATGTCGTTGGTAGAGAAATGGGATTGCTGGTTACACAGTTGTTGAGAAATGTTGAAGTTGGTCTCTGGTTAAAATCTAAAACGGAGGACAGTTGTTATACTATTTGAAGCGGTGATTGGCTTTGAACCCTTTATTGGAGTTACAATGGGACTTAGTGAATTGAAATTTTATTGCAATATTACACTGTGGCAAAGGACTTGGAGTCAGAGTTGATTTGGTCATCAATTTCTCATGTTAAAAGCAATCGAGAATTAGCAATGAGAGGTAAGGTAGAATTAGTACGGAGTTATGAAGTTTATAACTCAGATTCCCGGGTATGCCTCCTCAAATTCTCTTGAGAAAACCCACTCAGCACGTTGATAATGAAGATAAAGCAAAGACAACATGATAATTGTATGCCACATATCTTTCAAACTGATAGAAGAACAATTGGCAATTAGCCAAAACCAAATAGGTGAACAAAACCAAAGAGGACATATATAGGAGTACCAGGAAATGATGTAACTATCATAAATTTAAGATAGCACGACCCTGGACAGACTGTTGCTGCTGAGAAAAGTTCATCTCAAGTCTCCTAGGAAGCTTCAGAAAGTAGCTTTGTCATCCAAAGTTAGAGATTTTGGGAGAAAAGTCTTACTTTTGTTAAATTGAGTAGTTCGGCGTTATGATAGTTTCTTCGTGGCCTGGTACTGTTGTATAAGATCTCTTCAGCAAGATTGCGGTACACTCTCATAAAGCTAAAAAATACCACAGCATATTTTTTCTCGTACAACAATTAAATTGATACGAAATTTATAATATGTCTCCAATTAATTGTGATGCTATTTCATACTTTATTTAGGACAAGAGGCGTTCTATCTGTTCCCCCCTGTTAGAGATTTTTCCTTTAGGTGACACAGTTTTGATACTATTGGTTTTAGTTTAAGGGCACAACAACATTGGTTTCAATTTAAATTCCCCTACTTTGTGAAACTAAAATGAATTTTTTGCCCTTTTCTATTCGTTAATTTTTAACGTTTCTGTTGCTCCTATTTCTTATGAGGAGTGTACTATGTAATTATTAACTATAATTTAAGCAAGTAGTTGTTTTAGTTTTAGATTCTTTTATTTTGTGCTATCCAGTGGTAGCTTGTCCTTTCTACTTTGGTGCTATGAATTGTACTGGAGTTCGGTTGGTATCTTTTATCTTTCTTCTATAATAATTTGATGTTTCTTTTACAGGTTCTAAATGGTTTACTTTCTAGAGAGAACCAGAAAGAAGGAATTTCTATACCAATTGGAATTATACCAGCTGGTTCTGATAATTCATTGGTTTGGACTGTTCTTGGAGTTAGAGATCCAGCTTCGGCTGCAATGGCTATTGTCAAGGTAACTTATTCAGCTAAATTATGTACATAACTCTTCTGAATGTGGTACCTGTTCTCGTATTACCGCTGGTTTTGCTCATGTGGTACCTGTTCTCTTATTATTGCTGGTTTTGCTCATCATTCATCTCTAACGTTGAGTATGAATTATCTTGTTAGTAGTCAAATCCTGTTTACTTCTCGTTAGTAGTTAGGGCAGATATAGCTCCAGTTATAAGTACTGGCACTGGCATTTCCAGTCAGCCAATTCCAATGAGACCTTTCTACTACTGGAGCCGAGATGACTTCGAATTTTGATGGAGCTCCGAGAGAAAGGTATTGCTGATTTAGAAATTGGCATTCACTCATCGTCCTAGAATGTGGATAAGGAAATATAGTTAGTAGTAAAAAAGAAGTCTGATATGGTTATTTCTTTTTCTTTTTTTTTTTGCCTAATTAATAATCCTTTATTGGTAGAATTAGATCAATACTAAGTAGGAGAGGATGAGTATCCTAAATAATAATAATAATAATAAAAAAGTTGTTAAGGGTGGGGCGTGGGGGGAGTGGGGGTGGGGGACAAAGAACTAAAAATACAACCTAGAGCAACTAAGAGCTCGTAGGCTAGACCCCAAAACGAAAACAAACAAGTATTACAACCATCTAACAACATACTACAATGATGTCCAGTAAAAATACAGAATGTCCCTCCAATTCAACAATATTAAAGATAAGCAAAAGTGTTTAATTCTTTATCTGTTGACTGCCAGAGAGATGCTTAAAAATAAGCCTTATGGAAGATTTCAACTGCAATGGTTTTTTCTGAATGAAACTTATTCTTATCCCCTATTATTTGACCCTACGGTGGATGGTCTCTGCCCAACTGCTTCATAGATGGCAGCCTTTTTTCAATTATGCTTTAAAGATAAAAATGCTTTTATGGTAATCCAATTCTTTGTGTGAATTCCCATAATCTGTTCAATTATAACTGGTTGGGATACATTTCTGCTGAAGCTAAAGTTTTTTGAAGTTTTGAAAATCTCCTTGACTTTTTTATCCGAATGCTATGATATACTTGATTGCTATGTATTCAGTTGGAAATATGATATCTTGTTGTTGGTTTCAGGGGGGTCTTACTGCTACGGACGTTTTTGCTGTTGAGTGGATTGGGACTGGTATTAGGCACTTTGGGATGACAGTCTCATATTACGGCTTTATTAGTGATGGTAATTGCTTTGGCCTGACTCCTCAGACTAATGTCTATCAAAATAATGAAAATTCTGTTGTTCGCATCTTCTGCAAATATTTGCTTTTTAGAGCTTAGTCCTATTGTTTATAGGCATTTGCCTTGTTTCTTGATGCTTGCTTTTATACCCAATTGGTATTATGCAGCTACAGCTAACTTGATCTTTATCTTCTCTTTTCGTTTATAGTCCTTCAGGATATTTAAATCGTTCAATTTTAAAAATTTAAATTAACTTGAATTCAGCAGACCCCTGTCTTCCATGATTTCCGATTTGGCAAACCATGATACTATAGCCTACCCAGCTCATTAAAGGCTTGCAATAACGTTTTCTTTTGTTCTTTTCTTCTCTGTGAATAAGCTTATTATGTATCTAAAACGTTAAACAAAAGGGTTTGTCCGTAGAATAATTTTTGCAATTATAAATGTATACCAATGGTTTTTGTAGTTGAAGCTTATTATATTGTTTTCACGGAGCTGTATGGTATTAAATACTGGAGGTCCAGATAATAGGTAAAGTTGTGTCATGTTAGCAGTGTGTCAAGTTGTGAATGATCCTGGTTATGGTTTGATTCACCAGTCTGCATTTTCAATGTGTGAGTGGGCGGATAGTATTTTCTGTTTATATTTGTATAAAGGGACCAGTAATGACTAGGACGGACATCTGGTAGGATTGCTTCTGTTGTATTCTTTGCATTTCTCATTCACTGAAGTGAGATGATTATGTGTGTTTGTATTTCTTGCATGCTGCAGTATTGGAGCTATCCGAGAAATATCAAAAGCGTTTTGGTCCCTTGCGTTATTTTGTTGCTGGGTTTCTCAAATTCTTATGCTTACCCAAGTACAGCTATGAAGTGGAATTTCTTCCAGTATTGGAAGAGGATCAAGATGGAAAGCACTTAGCTGAACAGGAAGTAGTTGACATGTCAGACCTTTACACGGATATTATGAGGAGGACAAACACAGACGGCATTCCTAGAGCCTCTAGTCTGTCAAGTATTGACTCCATAATGACTCCTAGTCGAATGTCGGGAGGAGAGTTGGATACAACCTGTAGTAGCACTCATGCTAGCGCAGAACCATCCGAGTATGTGCGTGCCATAGATCCAAAATCAAAACGATTATCAACTGGAAGGAGCAATGTAAGTTCTGAGACAGAAGTAATTCATCCTCAGATACCTCTGTCAACAACCCCAAACTGGCCAAGAACCAGATCGAAGTCTAGGACAGATAAAGGATGGGGTGGACTGACTGCCACCCATGAAACATCTAGATGTTCTTGGGGCAATGCTGCAACATACGATAAAGAAGATATATCGTCAACTCTGTCTGATCCAGGTCCAATTTGGGATGCTGAACCAAAGTGGGACACCGAAGCTAATTGGGATGTGGAAAACCCAATTGAACTGCCAGGACTGTCGGAGGATGTGGAAATTCCTAAGAAGGGAGTATCGATGCCCAGATATGAAGATAAATGGGTTGTGAAAAGGGGGCAGTTTCTTGGTATTCTAGTTTGCAACCATGCCTGCAGAACTGTTCAAAGTTCTCAAGTTGTGGCACCTAAAGCGGAATATGATGACAACACCATGGATTTAATCTTAGTACATGGGAGTGGGCGGTGGAGACTGATGAGATTTTTTGTGCTACTACAGATGGGGAAACACCTTTCACTTCCATACGTTGAATATATAAAGGTGTGAATATCTTCTCTTGCAACATCTTCTCACATGAGTCTTGAATGTTCTAGTCCAAATAATTGTAAATTGTGTTAATGAAATTGCACCATACACATCTTGATCAGTTTCCTTTTGTAGTTGATATTCTTTCAAGTTCGGTTTCTTATTACATCTTATTTATTGACCCAACTATTAGGGAAGGAAAGACACATGTAAACTGTTCGGGGCCTTTGGGCTTGGTAGCATGTAATTTTATAGAACAACAATTTAGATGGGGATCATCTAACATTAGGTTCTATTGCAGGTTAAGTCAGTGAAGATTAAGGCATCCGGACAGCACACCCACAATGGTTGTGGGATTGATGGTGAGCTTTTTGCACTCAATGGACAAGTTGTATCTTCTTTGCTTCCAGAACAGTGCAGACTTATTGGTCGTTCCCCCAACAATCATGTTTGATAGCCATGGCCTTCCTTTTTTTGGTCCTCTATCGAGTGCTAGAGACAACTAATGCGTCTTTCCGTAATGTTGAATATGAGGTGCATCTATATACCAAGTAGGGTACCTTCTGCTTTACTGTTTCTAGCGCCCTTTTCCATCCCACCTTTGAACAGCTGAGATCCCTGTAAATTTTTGTTCGGTATGTCTACGCGATGATTGTTGTTGTTGATTTCCCTCTTTCCTATTATTTTCTCGGACCTGGTGTCCTAGCCCCATGTTTGTTGTCCGACGCAAGCTGCTTTGTGTAATTGCAATTCTGGTACTGTTTCTTGTGATGATCTTCAGATTGCTACAGAGATTTGTTTTGTAAAGTATTTGGTTGTTGACCAATCATTGTTTCTTCAGATCTGCCTTCCCTTTCTTCACATGAAGACTCATTTCTTCAAACCCCAAAAAACAAACATCAATTCTACCTTTCCTTACTAAATAGAGCTCTGGAATTGTTGGATTTCATTAGTAATAGAGTGGAACAATCACTTTCTTCAATGAGGTCCAAGTAATCCGAGGCTTGAGCCCTGGTATGGAGTCTGTTTTTGTTGTAGATTACTCTGTTTTTTTTTTTCCCCCCCCTTTTCTTTCGATATTGGTTAGTTGCTATATAGAACTACTTGTAATGCGTTAAGTTTGTTTGATAATTTTTGTTTCTTCCACTATTTTAAGACCAGAGACAGCTTGGGGACAACACACCATTGACATGGCACATTAGCAAGTCATGTCACATGTGCATAATGGTATTTTTCCATTCAACGTTTTGCTAAGGAGAAGGGATATTTTATTTAGGATCTTATGTGTGCGGGCCCGTTCGGTTCGCTAATTCGAGTTGAGATGTGATGTGTGAGAGCTTTTTACTGTAGTAAAAAAGTTAGATGTGACTTTCTGAGAGTTTTTTACTGTAGTAAAATTTGAATTCTAAACTCGAATCAGTGAAAAGAACGGGGCAATTTCTTTTTGATTTATGTAAGGAGAGAAGCATCATTCTTAAATTTGATTTTTTTTTTTTTTTTTTTTTTGTTGAAAAGTATGGGAACTCTTCCTTGTACTCCATGTTGATTTGAGACAGTGGTTCAGAATAATGACCAGAAAAAGGAATAGGGAAAATGGAAAAAGAAAAAGAGGAGAGAAAGAACACAAGTGAGCATGGCAAGAGAAAAGGATTTGGGTCTATCGTGTCTCATTACTCTTGGCTTGCTTGTAGATTTTTATCCGCTTTAAGTACGCGATTGAGCTTCGAGAAAGAATATATGCTTGCCTACCTACCTCTCATTTCTAATCCTAATCCATTTCCAATGGCCTTTCTTGGTTTGTTCTTTTGTGTTGACATTTCATTTTGTTCTTAGCCACCATTTGAAATATTTGGGAAAATAAGTTAAAAGGAAAATTAATTTGGATTACCATGTAAATCATCACAAATACATTTGTAGTTGTTTACAAACAAATTGGCTAGTTATTTGGGTGTGTGGTAAGGTGTTTTCTATAATCTTCAAAGAACCAATAACAAAAGTATACTTTGATGGAGAAATTTTTATTTTAAAAATAAATAAAACACATGTATTTGGTCTTTCTTATCAAGAAAGTGCTTCGGTAGAGCTGGGTTGATGTCAGAATCGGGTTTAGACTAGCTCGGTGTTTAATTCATGCTAGATATTAATTTAAAGTCGGTCTATGATCAAGATTAAGATCGATAAAATTACGAGACTGTAGAATTGAAACATAGTTTCATGATAAGAAAAGAGTTATATAAGCAAAAATGATTGATATATCACATTAGACTATCTCCAATGTAAATGCAAAGATCAATATTAATATTATAGTTAGAATTATTATGTTATTTACTATTTTTATTATTATGCATAAAGATCTGTTTTTTGAAATTTGCAATACTAAAAGTATAAATATTTAAAAATAACAATGGTGTCAACATATTAACTAATGAAAATTCAATCTTAAGAAAATGATCATAAAAATCAAATATTAAATTAGCGCTAATATAATATATGCTAAATTTTACATATATAATAATAGATCAATGATTATATTTTTATCGGTGGTTAATCATCAGATATAAAAGTATGATAATGTGATGTGAAAAGAATTTAATCTCATTAATTATCATATATCACCTTATAATGATACAATCTAAATAATAATACCCACTAATAAATAAATATTAAAATAACTATTAAAATCACACCTAAATTAATCTAGAAATCTTTATCCATGGGCCACATTTTAATTTTGCTACAGAAAATTATTGTGAAAAAACCATTGGAACTCATGAGGCAAGAAAGAAAAGAAAAGAAAAGAAAATTTTAGCCCTCACATTGTTTAAAGGGAGAAAGAGAAAAATAGGCCAAGACTTGAGATGAATTAAAATTAATAGGTTAATAGTTTACATAAGTTAATAAATATGTCAAATTACTGTTTTCGTCTATAACTTGTCTGGTTATGAACCATAACTTGACAAGTTATTGTCCATAATTGTCCATAACTTGTCTGGCTATGAACTATAACTTAACAAGTTTATTCATAACTTATCTAATTATAAACCATAACTTAACAAGTTATGACCTATTAATTTTTATAACTAAAAATTAACCTATATACTTTCTTAAACTTTTCATATTTACCTATTTTCTACTATTTTCTTTGTTTAAATCCCAAATTAACGTAGACACACAAATGACATAACTAAGACAAAAAGATACTTGTCAAAATCAGACACTTGTCAAAATCAGACGGTCACATATCATCAAGAATTTTGTTTTGGGGATGAAGATTTATCATTTTTCCCCTTGGATGGGAAAGGGAAAAGAAAAAAAAAAAAAAATGAAAGGCCTAGAAATGTGTTCCTGCGAACGTGGCAGCAAGGTTTTTGAGATAATATGAACAGATTTATTTATTTATTTATTTTGGTGAGAGATAAGACAGAAACTTGATCAAAAAAATAGTAGAGTGAAGGGCACCTCAGAAATGGGATTAATAAATATAATAACAATATAATATCATATTATTTGTTTAACATCTAAAAACAAAATAAAAAATAAAAATAAAAATCTCATCGGCGGACGAAAAGACCATACCGAAGAAATGAGTACGGCGACGGTTGGATTGTTGAGTTCCCCAGATCACGCTATGATTCTCGCCGCGATAAGACAGAAACTTGATCAAAAAAATAGTAGAGTGAAGGGCACCTCAGAAATGGGATTAATAAAATAACAATATAATATCATATTATTTGTTTAACATCTAAAAACAAAATAAAAAATAAAAATAAAAATCTCATCGGCGGACGAAAAGACCATACCGAAGAAATGAGTACGGCGACGGTTGGATTGTTGAGTTCCACAGATCACGCTATGATTCTCGCCGCCATGAAACCTTCCTTCATTTCTTCATCATCTTCTTGTTCTTGTTTATCAGTTTCGCTCTCGCCTTGCAAAATCTCTCCTTTCGCCACAGCTACGAGGAGGAGAAGGATTAGCTGCGAGGTTGCGATCAAGTCCGACTCTGCGACTTCTCCTTCGTCGTCGGAGTTTTCGGAATCGCCGTCTTCGTCTCCGGGAACCGCCGACGACGAGACCGGGGGAGCGAGGATTGGGGCCAGGGTTAGGGTGAAAGTGCCGCTGAAGGTCTACCACGTACCGAAGGTTCCGGAGATCGATATCTTGGGAATGGAAGGCGAGCTCAAGCAGTACGTTGGAGTATGGAAGGGGAAGAGGATTTCGGCGAATCTTCCGTACAAGGTTCAGTTCTTGACGGAGGTCGAAGGTCGCGGAAAGGTCAAGTTCTTCGCTCATCTCAAGGAAGATGAGTTCGAGTACGTTTAAGTTTCTTTCCAGGCAATTCTCTCTCTCTATCTCTCTCTTCTGAACAGTAAATAAAATCCGGAGAAACTGTAGCTTAAAGAGCGACTGCTCGGCATAGTATTGTATGTAATTTACTTGGATTCTTGTGTTATTACTGGTGTAATTGAATTTGAGAATTATTATTCTGAGTTTCTGATGATTATTATTGTGATAAAAATGAACATTGAAATTAGAACTAGCGTCGACAAGAATTGATTTTTGTGTTCAGAGAGTAATCTACTATTTTCTACTCTGATATTTGGTCATTTTAATGGACAAATTTTGCTTTTTATGGTCTATTATGGGACTTCTTCATCCCAGGGATGTCTTTTTCTCCTCTATTCTCTGGGATTGAATAAGGCGTTTAAGGAAACTCTCTTGTAAATTGTTATTGGTTTTATAAGAACTTGTTCAAATCACTGGTGTAGTAAGTAGAAAACCTTCAATTATATGTTCTATTTTGTAGTTTAGGGGTTAATCTGAATCATCTGATTTGATTTTGTTTTCCTAAACTTAAAATCCTTTTGATTGTTTTCCTACTGGTTTGTATACAGTCCTCAATTCTCTTTATTTTGGACTTCACTGAGCTTAAAGTTATATCCCTTACTATGCTAAAGTAGTCTAGAGATTTAAGTCTACCTAGGGAAAAAAGGGCTTGTTGTTGTGTGCTAAAACGACTTCAACTACGAGTGGTCTCCTTTAGTAAGGTAAACTGTACTGGATTATTACTATTATGGTGTTAACTAACAAATATGAAATGTCAGAAGCTTTGGTGACTGCTGCTTTATCATTTGCTTGTTACCTTGGCGATGGTAAGGGTGGATCAGTTCATTCAATGTTATTAGTTAATTCAGTTAGTAAAAGTCTTTTGACATCATACAAGAGACTTGGGTTGAACCACGCATTCAGAACTTTTGGGAAGTTATGGGATGGAGGAGGACTAAGGAGTATTTCTTGTTGCGTAGCCGGAGAAGACAGAAAAATCAAAAAGAGAAGAAAATATAAGATAAGAAAGCTTGACTAGTTGGCTCAATGAGATCTGTGGGAAATTTTCAGCTAATGTTTGTTGATACTGAGTGGTTGTTTGTGGAGATGTATAGGTTGTCATCTTCTATTGTCTCCTGTTTGGCGAATCCTTATCTTTTACTTCGGCCAAGTGTTTATATTTGATGTTTTACCCTCAGCTTCCGCGGGTAGCAGTTTTGCACTGGTTAGCTCTTAGTTAGCTCTATAGGTTTTTAGAGATTCAATATACTTTAATACAATCAACGTGCTTACTGGTGATAAGTTTTGCCTCGATGTTTCAACTATACAACCACAAAATTGGAATTCGACGAGTCCTTCCAAGTTCCATGTACTCATTATCTCAAGCTTTATTTTCTGTCTTCATTCTCTCCATGGCAAGATTTAGCCTCTGTGTCAAGGCATGCATCTGTGAATGTTCATCAGTACGCACTATGATAAACGTTAATTTAAAAGGAAAAATAGCAAAGGAATCAGCTTTAAGTCGTATTTTGTTTGAAGTTGTATAGGTATAGAACCTGAGCAGGATTTTTTGCGACTGTTTTTATAAACTGTACACTAGATTGGTTTCTTTTCTTGGTTGAAAAATTTTGGAAATTTTTACTCGTCTTTCCATTTTTTTCTTATTGTATTGGCTGTTGTCAATTGTCTCCTTGTTTTTCTCCGCCATTTGTCTTATCCAGAGAACAGATTAAAAGCAAAAAAGCGGGCCACTGTAATTTAATTGCAGGCAAAAACTATGGGACTTACAATCGAATTCTATTAAGTATAAGCTGTGGAAGATGGTTTATTGGTGTCTCATACAACTCTAACCGAGGGGATTATTTCCTCCTCAAATTAGACTTTTGACCTTTTTCCATTGCAGACACCTCACTTCAAAGTGGGAACTATCACAAGTGCATATTAAAGGAACTTGAATTGCACTGAATTTGTTGGCTTGATGTTTTCTGAAAAATTTACGGGCCCGTTTAGTTCGCGGATTCGAGCTGAGATGTGACTTTATGTGAAAGTTTTTTACTGTAGTAAAAAAGTTAGATGTAACTGTTTCTGAGAACTTTTTACTGTAGTAAAACTCAAATCGGTGAAATGAACGTGACCTCAATTATACTATAACATATTAACAGAAAATAGTTTGCTTGTCGAAGCTGTAAGAGAAAGGAAGATGTGAAGATGAATGAGAGGAAAGGTGAGTGATTCACTTTTAAGTTTTAAGGAGCATGAGGTGACAAAAGAGACAAAGCCAAGAGGCGGTAGGGCTAAGTTGTTTTGTTGCCATAATGTGAGTAAAGCCAATTTAGACTTTGTTGAGGCTGCGTTTTAGTTTGTAGTTATAAGTCGACGCGTTTGACAAATGACGACTAATGCTACTTTGCTGCATTTTGCATTGTGTTTAAATGATCGAGTACGGATCATGAGTGTGTTTGCAAGCCGTTCAAGGGTCATGTCGACGCTAGATATTGCTTTCGTATAAGAATACGATACCTTCTGTGCTGCTCAATTTCATTAGGCAGAGATGGATGAATAATTTTTCCTTGGAGATGGAAAAATTGTGCATTTGGGAAAATAGAGTTGCAGGTTACTTTCATGATTATATTGTGGATTGCACTTGTATAGATTATAGAAGAAGATATTAATATTTTTTTTTAGATTCCTTGAGGTCAGTAAAAGTTGCAATATAAATTCTAAAAATTTGTTGACAGACTGTTGGGAACAAGATGTCATATAGTTATAAGAAATTCTATAATTTTCTCATTCTAAGTTTTTAACTTTACTGATATGACTAGTACTGTTTCATGTAAATTTGATCAAATGCCAACTCCCTTCACTTATATTAGTGTATTGAAACAAGTTTATTGCATCTTAAGGTTGGTGAAACTCTTAGCTGGTGATTTATGTAATAAGTCTTGTTCATTTCACTAATTTAAGTTTTTAGTTTTAAATTTTTACAGTTAAAAGCTCTCAAAAAATGTTACATCTAAACTTGAATTGAAAACCTGAAAACTCGAATTTGCGAAGCGAACGAGATCTAAATTTTTGTTGATTGTTGGAGACTAGAGATAAGAGTTTGAGCCTGAAAGTGGGACCGTTGGTTGGTTTTAGCAAGAACAAGAAAGAAATGAAACTTGTAAGAAAAGAAGGGGAGTTAGAAAGAAAGAAGAAAAATGGAAAACCATTGTTGAAATTGGCAAAGCTCAAATTTTCAACGTCAGACCCTTTGTGAACAATTTTGGGTGTTCTTTCTTTTTTTTTTCATTTTAAATTTATAGATCTTTTCGTTTTCTTTCATTTTTTTTTATTTTTTTATTTTTGAATGGTTCTGAGCTTATTAGGTGATAGGTGTCTGGTAGTTTTCCTCTGTGGGCCTCTGAAGTCTCCCTTCCAAACTTCAAATCCGATATGAAAAGAAAACCAACTTACCTACCAAACTTGCAATGGTCACCAAGTTCTTAATACCAATAAACACATCTATGCTTTCAACTGGTGTAACAAATTACAGGGTAGATGTGTAAAAATTGGGGTTTTTTTCTAAAGTAATATTTACATAGTACATACCAAGTAGGGGGAAAATAAGAACATGTCATTGATTTTGTGTTTAATCGATAAATGACACAGATTTCATAGCATAACAATCATGCCAATGATTTGAGTCCATGGAAAATGATTAATGTTTGTTTCATGTATCCGTCTCTGATTCTGAATCATGATTCATGATTTTTTACAGTATTTTTTTCTCATAAAAAACACACATAAAACAAGAATAATTCTGAATCATGATTCTGATTATATGAACTAAATGTCAAATATGCTCAGATAACCAGATTTTCCTGGCATGTTGAAAAATAGTTAAGTAGCTATGTAGAACTGTTTCAAACATTGATTTAGATCTTCTGAAATCTGAATGAAATATCCAGCAAAAGAAAAAAAAAAAACAAAACAAAAGAATTATTTATTTCCTTGGGGCTACTGGCTAGTGTTGTCAAATTCAAAAAGCTACTCAAATGTTTGAAAGTTTGGATATATTTTTAAGATCTTTTTTGCCCTTTGTTTGGCGACGCTGATTGGTAGGATTGTCAAAATGGTAGATTACGACTGATACATATCTGGTGAAACAAGTGTCCTTTTTTTTAACTCCTTTGGAAAAAAATGCACTTATTTGCAACATTTCCTCTTATTATTGTATAGAAATGGGACAAATATTTCCTTTTAACATACATGTTATAAGATCTACGAAAATCTTTTTAAAGTAAAATGTGATTACAAAGTAAAAAGTTATGTCTTAAATAAGAAAAGCAAACTTAGTAAATGAATTGACTCCTTTATATATGTCCTCATAACATAGTGACAAGAACGACTACTTACTACGAAAGTAAACAAACATTTTCAACTCATCAATAAGGCCTTTAATTGTTCTTAAATTTTTTTTAAAAAAAAAGCCTTCTATTGACCAATGTATTATTACCATTAACCCTGTTTATCCTATGGCGAGGTTCACCTTACGTTCATATGGAGACCAAAATATTGGGAGAAGCGAAGTGAAAAATAAATGAGTGTGTTTGAAACTCATTTTAAAATAATTTTATTTTTTATATGAAAATAGAAATGAAAATGTTTTCAATCTTAAACAGAAATTATTTTTGAAAATGCGTTTAGTAGTTTTATCAAGATATTATTTTAAATATAAAAAAACTTATTAATGTCTCTCTCTCTGCTCAAGAGAGAAGAAAACAAAAATAAAAAATAAAAAACGATTAAAAGTCATTTTTTATTTTTCTTCCATTTTACACTAAACTAAAAAATTATTTTTATTTCTTTTTTTTGTTTTTAATTGTACTAAACGCTGTTTTACAATCGTTTTTATTTTTTCGTTCTAAAAAAACGTAAAATCAAAAACAATTCCAAACACTACAAAAAACATTCTCTAAGAGCTTAGGTGGTGGTGAAATAGTGATAAGGCGTTAGAGGGGTTTTTTTTTTTTTTTTTTTTTTTTTTTTTTTTTTTTTTTTTTTGCGTTTGTATCTGGTTATTTAAAATAGTGTGGTTGCAGACTTCCCGTAGTTTCAAAGTTGATTCTGAAAAGTGACGTTAGGCGCCGCTCATCCTGTTTTCTTTAGGAGCGAAAACAGCAACCCCTAACCCGCCTAAGTTAGTTCAGCAACAATGGTAGTATG